TATTTTCTTGGCTGATGAGCTGTTTGGAAAGGTGGGAAGCGGAAACTCGTGTTCTTGAGAACCCACCCAGGTCACACATCCCCGTACCTGCCCCTTTGTGTCTTACCCAGGGCCAACACAAAGCGTCCTCTCCGCAATGAGCATCTTGGAAGATTCTTGTCCGCGCAGGGCCGGGGGAGATACTCACTGTCCTCTGCCAGCACAGGCGACATCGCCTCGCCTCGTGTCCCACCTGAGGACGTTGGTTATGTCGGAGAGGCAGCTGCGCCGGATTTGAGGATGTGTTGGGAAGTCCAGCCCTCCCTTGGAGAGCGTGCTCATCTTTCTGCTGCTCGAAGCCCTGAACCGGCATGGGTAGGGCTGGAACTCCCCAATCCCTGCTTCTTCGGCACGCCGGCTCTGCTGTTTTTCCCTCAGAAAGGGCACAAAGTGAGTCAGCCCAGCAGCTTCTGGGAAGCCCTCCTCTTGGTTTGCTGCCCGTGAAGGTCTGGCCGTGCTGGCTGCTGCGGGTCCCTCCTGTCCTTGCGACTCTTCCCTTGGTCACCCAACCCCTCCTCGTATTTGCAAATACCCGCCTGGCTTCTCCTTCCCCCCTTTCTAGTCAGAAGAGAGAGTCATTTGACTGGTCTGCAATTTTAAAATGAGTTTCCTGAACTCCACGGGGTCAGGGAGGGAAGGCAATGGGAAGGAATTGTGGAGAACTTCAGTGAGGAATCGCAAAAGGGGCAGGATAATAAAGATGGGAAATGATAGAAAGTCAGATGCCCAGACAGGAGATCCTCCATCCCTTTAATGAGTGGAGAAATGGGAAATCTTGGCTGAAGATCAGACAGCAATCATCCTGGTGTCTCAAGTAACCTAAGGGAAAAAAAAAAAAAAGAGGTAAAAAATGAGAAGAACAGCATGGGCTGTGTGTACCATAGCCGTAAATCAGGATGACCCAGGGAACAGCAGCAGCTGGCTCGACTTTAGGACCAGGAAAAGGGTTAACCACCAAAATAAAACTTAGATTAAGACTTAGAATAAGACTTAGGGTTTGTTTTGTAGGACCAAGCTGCAGAGTTACAAAGAAAACTGCCTTCCTACAATTCCCTCGAAATCTTCAAGCATGTTAAAAAAACCAACCCCAAAATACAAGATATTCAGATGATGAAATTTATCTGGGTTTCCTTGACAAAGTTCTTGGTATGGTATAAAGAAAAAGAAATAGGAATCGGACTGGTTTGTTTTCAGAATCAGCAAGGGAGAGGCTGTCGGAGTGATGGGCCGTTTTCACGGTGCCCCTCGGCAGTGTTTCGGGGTGTACAGAATTGCGCTTCAGAAAAGTGGAGAGGGGATGCAGACGAGGTGGCCTGGGCAAAGTGCTGGAAAGCCTCTGGGGTCACAAGTAAAGTGGAGTGCTTTGGACTGAAAAAACCCGAAATTTTCTTACCTATTGCTGAATTCTAATTAAATTCAATTGTATTTCAGTTGTGGAGGAAAAAAAATAATATTAAAAGTTCCCAGCTGTGAAGAGCACTGCTAATCCATGCACGGGGCTGGCCAAAGCCTGCAGACAAAGGTGCAGAGCAAAATGAACGGGTTATGGGAAAATACAGGAAACCATCTCATGCCAATGCAGAAATCAGCTGGGGATGCTCCGCTCGTTCTGCTGGCACCGAGGGAGATACTGGTGGGTTCAAAGAGGAGCCCTGAAAGCCATCAGCCATCGGGAGTGATTACTGATGCAGGTGAAGGGGCTCTGATCAAAGGTGTCACCGCAGCCACCTTCCCCATGGCTGTCCCCTCTCTCCGCGCTGGCTCTGCAGGCGCCTGCTGGCCCTGCGAGGCGACCTGGAGCACGGCTTGGGTCCGGAGCACCCAACCTCACCCCTTCCGCCTTCCCTGTTTTTGATTCTATTTTTGTTTTTACAGAGTCGGTACCACGGGAGAAGCACTCTGATGAAATGGGTGGCACCCTGGAGAAACAGAGGGTTTGTCTTATCTTTTCCGGGGGTGGTTATGCAATTTCAAGCTGGTGAGAAAGCGTGTAGCTCGTCTGCAGAATTTGTGCTCTTGCAGCTGGCGGTTCTGTTTTATCGTCTTGGCACACAAGCAAAATAAGCGAATATAATAGAAACAGTAGTTGTAAAACCCAAAACTGCTATGGAGAACAACAGGCAGCTTCACCCCACCGTCAGACTGGGCGGTCGCTTCCCAGACCCAGCTCTGGCTTTCCTGGATCTGGACCCCGTGGGGCAAGGGGGCTGCTGACCAAGAAGAGCTTTGGGGGGCGGTTTACAGCCTGTGGAAAGAACATCCCTAAGATCTAAGAGACCATTGCAAACCTGAGCACTGGCGGTTTACAGCCTGTGGAAAGAACATCCCTAAAATCTAAGAGACCATTGCAAACCTGAGCACCTTCTCACCAGTGCTGGCTTCTTCACTAACTACGTCCTTGGGATACACATGTTTAAAGCAGAATTACATGGAATCAGGTGCTTTGGTGCATGTGAATCTTCTCATAGGGCGAAGGCGAGGGAGCATGCGTGGAGCTTTGCTTAATGAGCTACTGGAAGGGTCCTAGATGCGAGGGTGAAGACAAGACCCCATGTGAGACCGGGCAGTGCTGTAAAGCAGACCCCTGCATAGGAGGCAGCAGTTTTCTGGGTTCATCTCTTGGGGAGGATGGGGAAACTCAGGGGCAGAAGGAACAAGGCGGCCCTCGGGATGGTGTTGTGGGAATGGGATGGGGAGGATGCTCGGGCAAGCCCCTGTCACCGTGCCGCTTCCCTGAGCTCCCACTCCCCAAATTCCTGCTCTTTGCATCAGTCCGCGGTGAGGGAGAGCAGGGACCAGCCTGGAAGGAGATGCCTGCTTAGTAAGGCGAGCATTAGCCAGAGTGGAAAGCTTTCTGATTCATCAATAAGTTAAATTACTGTTCATTAAATCTCCACAATTCTCGTCGGTCTGTAAGGGCAGCTGTTAACTAATCGGTTCTTCTGGGTACTGTCCCTGGGTCTGGCTTCCATGGCACTCCTGCTCCCTCCTCTTCCCAGTTCCTCATGCACCCATCCAGCCCCGTCCAGCCCCCCCAGCTTCCCTTCTGAAAATAAACTGCATTTCGACATCAGGAGCCTCGCAGCTCATCAAGGCTGGGATTTGGGTCCGGCTCCCGGAATCCACTGATAAATGGCATTTTGGGATGATTCAATCGGCCTTCCCCCGCCCCGAGTCATCCCCACGCCTTCCCATCACTGGGGATGAGCTCCGCAGAGCCCGCCAGGCAGCGGAGGTGGCTGCTTTGCAGAAACCTGCAGGAATTTAACTCACTGGGTCCATCTTGGAGAGCAGGCGACAGGACCTAAACGTGACACGGGGCCTTCATCCCAGCACCTGCAGGTCCCGTTTCAAGGCTGGCAAAGCAATAACCGATGCTGAGCAATGCAAATCCATCCCAGAGGTGATAGGAAATGATCTGAGAGCAAAATTAGGGATGCGCCTTTCCTTGTCCTGCTGCTTCGCCCAGGAAGGAGGATTTCTAGGGGCTTTAGTGCCCCCCAAAAAAGTCCCTCCTGCCCGCCCGCCCCGGCAGCTCCTCCTGAAGGCAGGAGCATCCCCTGGCACTGGGTGCCCACCCTGCTTGGCCCTGATGGCTGCAGAGCGTGGGTTCAAGGACCCCTCTCCCTGCCTTGGGGCTCTGAAAACAAGCCTGCACCCGGAGAAGAAAAACTGGCAGGGCTTCTGCTCCCAGCAGTTGGAAAAGCCGAGGCAGAGGCAGCCCAGCCGTCCTGATGCAGTCAGGCAGCATCTGCCCACAGTCGGTGGAGGGTCTCTAAGGCATGGGCTAAGCTGCTGTAGTGCCAAGGACAGTGCTCACGGGGACAGGAACCAAGATGAGATGGAGTCTGGTGGAGTTGGGGTACAGATGTTCTCCAAGTCTCATGGTCCACCAGGGTTCACCATGCCTCGTCCTCATCGGCTTTGTCAGCAACCTTGGCCTTATTGGCTTCGTCAGCGACCTCGTTGGCCTCAACGGTGACATTGGCGTCATTGGCCTCATCATCAGCCTCATCCTCCTTTGGCAGATGTCCTCTCCAGTGCAATCCCAGGGCTGCCGCTGCCCTCTGAGCCGGCAGGACAGCACAGGGCTGCCTTCCCTGCCTGATCCTGTATGACTGCTTTGCAGCACCTGGATTTTCAGCTGCTCTATCTCTCTACAGCTTTCCGTCTCTTGAAAGAGCAGTGAGGGGAATGGCATGCTGCCGGCAGAGCGGGCGTTGGACTGGCAGCAAACCCTTCCCGTTGATCAGAAACCTGGGCAGCGTCACTGCCTTTAATTCCTTGCTTTCAGGTACTGACTCTAGGCATGAGATCGGCATCCGTGATAAGGTTGGGAGCTGTGGTACGTGTTCACGTGGCTGTGAACGTACCGGTTTGCTATTCTCCACGACGTCTTTGGGATGCTCCTCCGCTCTCCCACCACACCGAGACCTTGCAAAGAGGCTCCCGTGCCCTGCAACAGAGCTGAACTTGGCTTAGCCAACGCGGTGCCTGGAGAACAAGGAGGAGGGTTAGTAATCAGCATCCAACCTGGGTATCCCCAGCAACACCAACACAAACACTCATCGGGGATAGCCCGGTCCAGCTAGACATAGCGCCGTTTTTCACGCCAGAGGACACCTTTTCTTTGCTCAGAATGTTTTGTTTTAGTCATGGATAATCCGTGTTAGCTCCCGCGACACCCAGATGAGTTCAGGAGTCCACCCTGTAATCTGCTCCATCCAGGAGCGCGTATTTGAGGAAGTGTCTGGGACTCCTCTTCCACACAGGGCATCAATTTTTCCAGACAGCTGAAAGTTAATAGCTGCCATGATTCAAGCGAGTAATTCTTGTGAAACCAGCTCCGGGGATGTTGCCTAGCAAAACAAATTCTGTCAGCGCAGCCCCGTGCTCTGACGTGGTGCTGGAGCCACGTTTTTTAACCCCAGGAAGTGATCCAAGGGAAACGGCACATTTTAGCGCTGCTGCAGACCGTACACAGAATACAGTGATGCAGAAAACAATTCCCGGCTGCTTTTTCCAGCAAATGTAAGTATTTTTGCTTTTAAACTATGTAAAAGCTGATACCACTTCACTATAGTCAGGATATTCAGCGGCAATCTGGGTTTCAAATTTGTTCTCCTCTTCTCTGTATTCTTTGACACAATCACAGGAGGAATTTTGAAAGGAAGGATTTTTTTAAGAGTAGGAGATATTTTTCTGTGCCTCTCAAACTGCCACAGCATGCCAATGACATTCTCATTTGTTATTACTGCGGTTATTATTAACTGGAGTTTGTAATGTGGCTCAGGAGAGCAGTTTCTGCGGAGATACAAGAATAGCGCCGTTGAAAAGGCAAAGTGCTGGATCAGGGAACCTCCCACGAGCTCGAACTGATGTTTCATTTCAATAAGGACTAACCAAAACCCATCTAGGTGCCACTGTCCACGCGCAGCGATCCTCCTGCCGATAATCTTTATGGAATATCGTGAGAGGCTGCTTTGAAAACTGTAAATAAAGAGGTGAATTGCCTCGGGCTGCCGCCTTCGCCTGACCTGGCTGTTCTGGCAGGACAGGAGTGGTTCTTCTGGAAAGAGCTTCCCATTCCCATTCCCACCCGCCCCCATCCCAGGCGTGATCCCCCTGCCTGCCTGCCCCTACCCTGGTGCAGGCAAAGGGAAGGGTCTGCCAATGGAGAACACCTATCCTCCACCTCCCGAGGTCCTTCCCGGCCTGGCAGGGTTTCCCAGCTGGGGGAAGCTGCTGGGTTGCCTGCGGAGGAGGACAGCGGGGGCTGGGGGGAGCCGTGCTGGCAGCCGCCTTCCCCAAAGGAGGAGCCTGAGTCTTCAGACCTTGCTTTGTATTTCTTCATACATCTGTTCTTTATCCAGGGGGTCTTTAATCTTACAAATATCAAGGCTGTGTCTGAGTAGCGATGTGCCCCAGACTGCTCTCTGCTAGAGCAAGGAGGACCGTGCCCTCCGACCATCCTCGCAGTGCGGGCCGTGCAGCGTCCTGCCCGCCGGCAGCGCTCCCTGCCTTCTGCCAAAGCCCGGCCCGAGCCCGCACGGCGTTCGGGAGGGTGAGCGCTGGCAGGTGCCGAAACTGTGCTGGGGGCCACTGGGGCTCTCTCAAGACGATGAAGAACTGAGCTCTGGCACCCGGGAACATCACTCACTTCTGTTTAATTTACTGGAGCAGATGCATCCAAACAGAATTTGGAGCAAGTATCAGAAACTGGGATGCCCTTTTCCTTAACAAACATCCGCAACTACCAGTGTTGTCATCCATGAGCCTTTCCTGATCCCTGCTCCTTGGCCCAGCGTGTCAGCTGTTTTCCTACCCTGCCCAGATTCCTTCGGTGGTTTGAAAAGCGTCCCCGCCTCAGGACAACCTGGTGGGGACACCCACGAGAGATAAACATCTAAATCCCCTGCGGTGAAGGAGGAAATCAAACCTCGCTCTACTACATTCTGGATGAGAGTTTTAATCATTAAATCATAGTGCAAAAGGGGCGGAGGGAGGCGGGAGGGAGCCACGGCGATGATTCCATCTCCTGGGGCAGCTGTGGCTTGGGAGGAACGACACAAATCTAACAGAAATTGGGAAGGCATCTTCCATCCAGAAACTCCAGCTCCTTTCCAACGCACGCTGCAGTGTTACGCAAAATGCTGGCAGCATTACATAAAACGCCAAAGTTTTCAAGAAGGGAAGAACACGAAAAACACGCCGAACTCCTCAGCGTCTGGGCTGGCTGCTTCTGGGTGCCTCCTCCAGCTGTACCGGCTTGTCGGCATCATTTTTGGACGCTCGTCAGTAGAAGAGCCTATGGGCTCATCACCAAGGCCTGGGGTGTACGATAGGACCCAATGCCCAGAAGCTCGGAGTGAAAATGCTCCACAAGGACACGATAAAGTTCTGCTGTAAATCCGCCCATCAGCGTCTTCTTCCTTTCAAACTCCTTACGTGAAAAAAAGGGTGGAGGAAACACACGAATGAGGCAGGTGTGCTGGGGAAATCTGACTTTGTCCACAGGGACAACTTCTGTTTGATTCAGTTTGTTTTCCAATGAAACTTTATTTCCACCTTCTCCAGAGGAGATGTAAAATCCCGAAGTTAATGGACGGCACATCTTTCTCGCTCGTTCAGCGGCTCACCCTAGCTTAGATTTGTTTACTCCCCCTCATCTGGGAATCACAGCCTCAAATTTAGCCGAAGTACTGTGCCCAGAGATGTTGATCTTCAGCAGCCTGGGCCAGGTTACATGGACTTTCCAGCATACAACGATGCATAACAGTAATTAGTTGCTGTAAAACGAGCAAAGTTCTTTTTCAATGCACGTAATTTGCCTCCTCAAAAACATACGTAATGAAAGTACACACAGAAATAGGCTGCAATCCAAAAAAAAGATGATAAAACACTCTTCATGTACCTTTCCAGAGAAGGAGGAGCTTGCTTGAGCAACAAGCCAAATCAGTACTCAGCTGCGCACGTCACAGCTTGGCTCTCCTCCGCCTCTGGCTAGCGAGCGGTGTGGGTGCTCCCACTGTGGGTTCAGATGGGTTTGCTCCAATAGATCTTAATTCCATTGGTGCTTTGTATCGAAACAAAAGGCCAAACCAAGGCTCAGACGTCAACACCCAGAGATTAACCCTCCTCCCCACCACCTCCGGCATCCTCAGCAGTGAAGCAAAGCCACTTCTTGGTAAATGAGTATGCGCTAACGAGGCTGCACCAGGACTAGTGGCAAACCCCCTCAACTGCATGGGAAGAGCACAGACCACTGATTTCAGAAAGATTTTGGTGAAACAGAAAATGCAGAATCACTTTTCTAGTTGATCACTGTGGAAAAGTGAGGGTAAGATGAACTGTATCGCAGTTAGCTGAAATACTGGACTAAATTTTTTCTACCCCTTTGTTGTGGTTTAACCCGGCAGGCAGCTGAACACCATAAAGGATTCCGCTAACAAGGTGGCTCAGATACTTAAAAACAAGAGAAAAGGTGCATGTGAATCTGGGATGAGTCAGCCTGGTACAAAACGAGTCTCAACAAGCAATGGGAATCCCACTCTTCAAAAAAGTTGGCTTGGAACCTTTCGTAGGAATCACTCAGAGGCCAGGTTGGATGGAGCTGGGAGCAACCTGGTCTGGTTCAAGGTGTCCCTGCTCCCTGCAGGGGGGTTGGACTGGGTAACCTCTAGGGGTCCCTTCCAACAAAAAACTTTCTGTGATTCTATGATTCTATGAATTATCATTTTCCCATCATCCCATCAAAAGAAAACAATAGGCCAGGCCTAAACCCCAGACCTGTTGGGTAACTGTACTGGGAAAACTTTGAAGTACAAGCTCCAAGGTGTTCGCGTCAGGAATACTGAGAATTTACATAAGGAGGTAGCTGCTCAAACATGAGAGAAATGGCATCGTTATATTTAGCTGAATCTCTGATCCCTTCACCACTGATCTGTTTATAGATCCAATATTCAAAATACAGGGAAATAACTGTCAAAGTTTCAGTAAGAGCAGAGTCTGGATAAAGACGCGTTCAGAAGCATTACAGCAAACAGCTTAGGCACAAGTAAAGATGAACTCAAGACACAAGGCAAACGGCTTTGTAGGTGGCTGATACAAAATCGTTGTCCAACCACAACAACGACAAAGAAGGGCTCCTGCTGGCAGCCTATGGGAACTGGCTGGTTTCATAAACGTCGTGGTTTCAGATGTTGCCCAAACCCAGCAGCGTGCCGTTCTTGAGGGCTGGTTCTGTCGGGCAGTGTTAGCTAACGGTCGGAGGGACGCAGTTTTTCCTCTTGCTCACACGCCCTAATGAACTGAGGCTTCTACCAGGCCTGTCAAGAGAGAAACTCAACCCCAAAGCCCACCACCGCTGCAGAAGACTGCAGACCTACTGGTGGTGGGTAAATACGAAGGGAGTCCAGGCACCCAGAAGCACCAGGAGCAAGGGACGTGGTCCCCCTCCAAAAGCCTTCACCCCAGGGCTCATTTGCACACCTTCCCACGGGTCTATAAACTTTCCCTCCAATTCCGTGTCAGATCTCATGATTTATTCATAAACATCCAACTGGATGCATTAGGAGATTCAACTGATAAACAAACTGGAAACATAACAGTATAGCTGTCTCGGTGGGAAATTAGAATTGGGTCTAATTATAGCTCTGCTAAGGCCAAGGAATAAAAGGCTGGGGGCTGCCAACAGGCACCCCACCGGGGGGACGGCCAGTTGGTTTTAGGCTTTGTTAATGGTACTTAAGAAAAAGCAAGTTTAACAGCTCTTGGCAGCAATAATGCTTAAAATAGCTCTTGGGTTTTCGTTTACTCCCAAAGAAATGTAGATATAAAATCAGAACATCAGAGAAACGTTTTAAATGGTGCCGTAGCGGGGACCGGGCGCCAGCTGGACCAGCTTCGAGCTGTGCGGCAGCCGGCGTGGCCCCGGGCAACTCCACTCCTGTGCTGAGAGCTGAAAGCTCAGAGGCACAAGGAGCTTGGGGATGCTATCACCAACCACACATCGAACCAGAGACCACATCTCTTTCTCAGCAAAACTTAAAAACCCCATGGGCTTCTGCAGCCAGCAGTCGTGTGCTTGTGAAGCTGGAGCAGCAGGCACCGCTGAGCCCACCAGCTTTTCCCCGGTAGCCCAGCATCATAGAATCATAGAATCATGGAATGTTTTGGGTTGGAAGGGACCCCCAGAGGTCACCCAGCCCAACCCCCCTGCAGGAGCAGGGACACCTTGAACCACATCAGGTTGCTCACAGCCCCGTCCAACCTGGCCTGGAATGTTCCCAGGGACGGGGCCTCCACCCCCTCTCTGGGCAACCCCTGCCAGGGTTTCACCACCCTCACTGGAAAGAATTTCTTCCTTAGATCCAGTCTAAACCTCCCCTGCTTCAGTTTAAAGCCATCCCCCCTTGTCCTGTCCCAGCTGGCCCTACTAAAAAGATTTTCCCCACCCTTCCTAGCATCCTTTTAGGTTATTCCTTTCTTTCCCAGAATGAGTAATAAATATCTCGTTTACTCTTCTACACAGCACAGCTAGAAATCTTTGTCTCGCTGCAACTTTAGAGAATGGATTCTTCATGCTTGAATTGACCCACAAAGGCAAACAGAAAAAACTGGCATACTGAAATCAGCCCTATTCTGACCTCAGTTCTTCCAGTAGCCGTCCAGTGTCATTCCAGTTTCCCTGCAATGACTCCGGCATTAACTATAATAAAATGCTATTGCCTGGCTTTATATGCAATCTACTTCATAACTGCCACAGCCTGAGGCTTTCACTACTGAACGTCTCTGAAGCTGGGTAACCAACCAATCACAGAATCATAGAATCACAGAATCGGTTAGGTTGGAAAAGCCCTTTAAGATCATCAAGTCCAACCGTTCCCCTAAGCCTGCCATCCCACCACTAAACCCTGGCCCTCAGCACCTCACCTATCCTTCTTTTAAATACCTCCAGGGATGGGGACTTGACCACCTCCCTGGGCAGCCCATTCCAGAGCCTGACAACCCTTT